TATATATATATATATGTGTATATATATATGTATATATGTATGTATATGTATGTATGTATATATATGTATGTATGTATGTATGTATATATATATATATATGCATGTATGTATATATGCATATGTATGTATGTATGCATATATATGTATGTATATATGCATATATATGTATGTATATATGCATATATATGTATGTATATATGCATATATATGTATGTATGTATGCATATATATGTATGTATGTATATATGCATATATATATATATGTATATATATGTGTATATATGTATGTATATGTGTATATATATATGTATATATATACCTTTGATCAGATATTTTTGTGCAAAGTGATTTGGAGCCAATCAGAGCCTTTGTTTTATAATGACTAGGTTTCAGTCTCCACATGCAGCACGTGTACAGTTCTTTGTTCATTTGATATTTTTGTGATTTGGAGCCAATCAGAGCCTTTGCACAATATGAATCAAAGTTAAACTCTCATAAACCTCCTGCCGTCTATAGACCACAGGTAGGTAAATAAAACTGTATATAACGTAACCTGCAAACGGTTACAGCTACACATGACTTAAAATATCTTTTTAGGTAATTTTAACATGAATTCTAATCACTTTTTTTTTTTTGTCAAATTTTGTTCTGATTCTGTATCTATATATTTACTTTTTATTTATTTCTTTTCTACTAACATTTAGCTTTTTTTTTTTTTTTTACAGGAATTTGGGTAAGGAAGGTCTGTTGAGCAGCAGCATCCTCTTGGACAAATGTCCTCCGCCACGTCCTCCTCCACCTCCTTCTCTCCCACTGTCGAAAGACAAACTCAACCCACCGACGCCCAGTATTTATGTACTGCACACACACACACACACACACTTGCTCCTCCAGTGTTAATGATGTCTGAGCTGAGACCTCTTCTCTGACCTCTCCTCTCCTGTGTCTTGTTTTTGAATGCAGTTAGAAAATAAGAGAGATGCCTTCTACCCTCCCCTCCACCAGTTCTGCACTAACCCTGCTAACCCAGTCACTGTTATCAGAGGACTTGCTGGCGCCCTCAAGCTAGGTGAGAACCAGAAAACTTCATTCTTTACTTTTTACAATGATTACAGCTTACGCATCCCCCGATATCTAGCCCGATACTTTATTCAAATACTCAAATACACTTTGTTTGTGTCTGATTCATTACTTGGATATTATTATTAACTACTGTAATTTCCGGACTATTGAGCGCACCTGAATATAAGCCGCACCCATCACGATTTTTTTTTCCGAACAGTGTCTGTAACACGGCTAGTTACACGTTAGCTCTTTCCTGCTTCGGCGCCCCGACCATGGTTGAATGCACAGGTGAGACATAGCGATCTGCTCCAGGGCCGAAGCTAACATTAGCTTCGGGGCTAACTCCCTTCACTTCGTGCTTGTCCGCAGCAGAGGTGAACAGAAACAGGGAAGTTGGGGTCTTTATTATCAGCCGCACCGAGCACAACAGAACATAAACACCGTTCACAGACAGACCTACCAGAAAAGTTATTGATCGCTAGCGGTATAAACATTGTTAGCTCGTAAAAATCCATAAATTAGCAATAACATTGTTTAATCCGCAGGGTTCAAAGGGTGCGAAAAAAGTAGCCGCTTATAGTCCGGCAATTACGGTAGTTCAGTAATGCCACAGACACTATTAGGTATTTTTACATTAGCGTAAAAAGACGGTTTTGTTTTGATTTGATTGAAATTATTTTTTGTTAAAAGACCAGAAAATGAAAGGCACTGTTAGCATTTTCCTGCTAACTGTTCTCACTGCGTGTTTAAACTTGCCTTCCAGTTTATTCCATATTTGTTGAAATCTAACCTAAGTAGGTAACTGCTACACGGTATTGGTTGAGTACACAAATAGAAATACTCTGTACTGTAAAAACACTGGTTTGTAAAAAGGCATCGATACAATGCTAATATAGGTTCCTATTTGTCACTCTGGGACCAGGGCTCTGTGTATAAGATACATTCGACACCAGACTCCAGTGGGAAATATTAAAGAATGTATTTTGATGTCGGAAAACTTTCTGACGTTGCAAACATCTACTCTTCTTTTTTTTCTGATGAGTGGCTGAAGCTGGCGTAAAAGTTCATCTTGTTTGTGTCGATTCAGACCTGGGCCTGTTCTCCACCAAAACTCTGGTGGAGGCTAATCCTGAACACCTGGTGGAGGTGAGAACTCAGTTGGCTCAACCCAGAGATGAGAACTGGGACCAGATTGGCAGCAGGAAAATGTGGCGCTGTGAGAGCAGCCGCTCACACACCACCATCCTCAAATACGCCCAGTACCAAGCCTCGTCATTCCAGGAGTCTCTGAAGGTCGGTCCATGACCACAACCATAAGTTGTGTTATCTCGAACACTTATTTTGAAATTTTCTCCATGGAGTTATTTATGAATGATGGACTTGTGCGACAGGAAGAGAGTGAGAAAAAGAAGGAGATGGAAACAGAAACCTGTTCCTCAGACAGGTAGGTTTTTGTTATTCCCCATTCTTATATGACATTATTGTTCCTTCCTTTCAGAGTCAGAAACTAGTTACCAGGCTAGGGATATTGAACATTTACATAGATAGCAGAGGTGTGGACTCGAGTCACATGACTTGGACTCGAGTCAGACTCGAGTCGTCAATTTGATGACTTTAGACTCGACTTGACAAAATGTAAAGAGACTTGCA